TATACGATAGAAGATGGTGCTTTGGGTTGATCAACCGTCCAATTTTGTAGAGAATTAATATTTTTTGTATATTTCTTATGAAATAGAGCTGTCAAGATTCAATGCGAAATATGTTCCCGAGAAAGTCTGAAAACTCTTTTGAATCATGGCGTTATTGTAAATTTGCTTACAGACATTCGGGCAAACGCTCAAATCGTCGATTACCGAGTTGAGCATGTTGAGTATGTTTCTACTCACGGGTATTGTATTCTTCTCCACTATTATGTACTATTTGGAAAAGGACGAACCTCACTCAGACTTCTATTCAATACCAGCTGCTTGCTGGTGGTGTGTGTAAGTGTTAGACCTTTTATTTCAACAAATATTTATAATTTATGTGAATGACTGTTCTTGTTTCTGACACCCCGGTCATGTACCAGCTCTCAATATCGCCAAGAGTCGTTGATCAGCGGGAAGGAAGTTCGAAAAGTGACAATATCAGACCGCAAGTTGCAAGAGAGGTGGATTCAGGGCTCGAGCAGTATGGGTAGACAGTACTCCCTTATCCCCCGTATGGTCCACACATCGCTCCTTGCGACTCCACTGGTTATTCCCACCATCGCACCTAAAATCAAGATAGAGTTGACGTTGCACTTTGCCTCACGCCAGCCTGCATTTTGGAGAGATACCATCTATAAGTTGCTTAGTACAGCTGGCAAGAAGTATTCAAAACTGGAGATGTTCATCCTCCAAGACATGATCTTGATCGGTGTTGGATATATTTAATTTTGTGTGTTTCACTACATTAACACGTTGACGACATCGCGCGTTTTGGGGTTTTTGCACCGCGTGGGACCAGAGCGATTTTGCGAGCGCCGCCGCCGCACACAAATCCATGGATTTTGAGCTGTGAATACGCAATATGACGTGTCAGGGCCAAATTTCACTTACTTTTCCTTTAGTGGTTTCAAAATTAATTCGGGTTGTTTCAGTAAAAACACATATCTTCCCATACGAATAGGTTTGTATTCGCTTCTATTATTCCTTTTTATCAACATGTTTACGTTATTGAAAAGAAAACGAGGAATGAACTGAACAGACATATCCGTAAGGTCTGGAAAACCTCTGCCAAACTAAAGAATATTTGGCCTTTCTGTGAGCCATGTGGTTTTTAAGTATGCTAATGTATGACCTATAGAATGAGTACAAAGACCTTAGGAATAAGTCGCACAAGCGCAAGAAAAAGGGATGACTTGGGTGGGACGCGTTACCGCGTCACAATGTCCCACGAGGTGCGCAAAGTGGGACGCGTTACCGCGTCACGCTGTCGTCAATGTGTTAATGGAGCTTGTTAATAAAAAATGGGACGGAACTTCCCCGCCATCCTAATACTTTTGTTGAAAATCACGGTATTACTTAACTGCGATAAGCCTACACAATAAATTGCGGGGCCGGAAAATGTACCAGACGATGTTCTTTAATCCTCCCAGACAAGTACGGTACCAACTGTAAAGGATATACTGGCCTGAATGACGGGTGTTAAGTAGGGGGGAACAGGCGGCGGCGCAGCTCTCTACTCGCTTGGAGCTCTCTCGAGCGAGATAGTGTAAACTCGAACATTCCAGCTTTTCACGCATGTCAAGTGAAGATGTCCCCCCCCCCCCCCCCCCTCCCCTAGATTGCCTACACTTCCCCTGGCTTAAGGATTTTCCGAAGTACGCAAACATGCCAGCAGAGCAGAGTGGGCGCCAACGCGTTGTCTCCCCAACCCCCTTAGCATCGGACGACATACAATCTAGGTTTGATGTTCCGGCAAACATTGTGTGAAGCCATCACTGGTAACCTTTTCCCACTGAATGACCATTCAGAGATATGTGTGATCGACGCAATCGCATATATTGTATTATGATAAATAAAGTGATTTAGTTATATATAATAATCCTACTATATATAAGCGGCTAGCGTGTGTCTGTTGGTGTGTGTGTGTGTGTGTGTTTGACCGGAAATTCATAGCTCGAGTCACAGTAACGATAGCGCAGTGGTTCTTACATATGTTATAGGGGGTGGGATGGGGACACAAGTGGTACGTGATAGGAACTGATAACGACTGATAATAGCTGATAAGAGGGGCTAGAAAGCGAGCATCGCCAATTTCGTTTTGTCGTTCATATTGGTACTAGAGCGTCTATACTTACAAGTCTTATGTGGGGCGGTCCCGGACACATTGGTGGTACATGATGGAAGCGATAGCAACTGATAATGGCTGATAAGATGCGCTAGAACGCAAAAGTCGTCGATTCCGTTGCCTGGCTCGCGTTGACACCAGAGCAACCATACTTACAAGTGTTATGTGGGGTGGGACGGGGACATTGTTGGTGGGTGCCAGAAACTGATAACGATTGATAAGGGCCGATAAGGCGCGCCAGAACGCTGAAGTCGTCGATTCCGTTGCCTGGCTCGCGTTGACACCAGAGCAACCATACTTACAAGTGTTATGTGGGGTGGGACGGGGACATTGTTGGTGGGTGCCAGAAACTGATAACGATTGATAAGGGCCGATAAGGCGCGCCAGAACGCTGAAGTCGTCGATTCCGTTGCCTGGCTCGCGTTGACACCAGAGCAACCATACTTACAAGTGTTATGTGGGGTGGGACGGGGACATTGTTGGTGGGTGCCAGAAACTGATAACGATTGATAAGGGCCGATAAGGCGCGCCAGAACGCTGAAGTCGTCAATTTCCGTTACGCAGCGTTGACACTAGAGCGTTCCTACTTACAAATTGTAGTAAGTCGTAGTAGTACAAACAAAGGTACGTGCACATTATTTCGATATATATCCAGCTTACTTAATAGCAGTCGATTGCATAAATTCAATCAAGTCTTCAGCAAATGATAAGTTTCATTTCTATCACGAAAGCCCAGACTCATTAAACCGCTAATCCTTTCAGGGTTCTAAATAATGGTAAAAGTAAATAAATGATAAGCCTTAGCTCCTCACTTATGTAAATAGGCATATTTCGTTTTAATTCTGAGATTGACAGTAATCCTATTCACCGCTAAATTATCTTAATTCAAGAAAAATGCTGGATGTTTACAGTTGTGTGATCAATATACCAGTTCAGCTCAGACGTTATCACGCGTATTCTCGATGAGCTTCAGTGAAACTGTGGAGGGTCTAACACAGTCAATAGTGAGATGGTTAATGGAGTATCTCATGCTGATATTCCATGGGTCCTCCAATTTCGCTAAAGCCTGCCGTGTGATGCGCGCGATAGCGGGCGAAGCAAAACTGGTATGTACATAAGCATTAAAGAAATAGGAAGCCCTTTAAAACGAACTGGTATCCTCGCAAAAGTGGTCTTCTCAATAATTGATTACCTTTTCAGTGTTACAATGGCAACTGTCGGTTATGGAGATGCTAAACCCGTCACTGTGTGTAAGTTAGCATTTTATTTCAAAATTTTGGAGAAATAGGAAGTCCTTTGAAGGTAGGGAAAAAGAGGAAGGGGAGGAGGAGGAGAGTATCAAGAACCAATGGAAGCGAGAGCCCAGAGCTTCTTCCAGTGTGTGCACCACGACTGTGATATTGTATCACCTGTATCACCTGTCGTCCCGTTGATTATCGAATTGCTCGATCGGGCCACAGCAACGTGTCCATTCGTATCTGTCGCGTGCAACAGTTTTCCTAGTGTGCCTCCTCGCTCGAGGGAAAGGTTCGCTGTCCTTCATTCCTTTCGTTCAGAGCTTTCGTGAAGAAGTCTGACCATCGGGCCGGCGGTCGTCCAGGTGTTCGTTTGACGTCCCGAGGGATCCAGTCGGTAACCGCTCTGGTCCAACGGTCATCAACAAATCGCATGACGTGTCCATGATGTTGTATATGAGACATTTTTTGTGCATCCCCTTTATGGCCGGGGGACAAATTGGTGTATAGAAAATTTAAATAGAATTAAAATTAAAGTAGTAAAAACAGAAAAGTATTCCTCACACACGCTGATGGCAGGCTGAAGATCAGAACCTGCCTCGTGGTCTATTCCAATTTGACCGCGCCAGTAGAGCTAAACTCAGGAGTAGCACAACTCCCAGCGATGCCACATCAAGTACATCTGTTTCAGTTGGCAAACTGGTAGCGACAGCAACATCCATATGTGGCATCATTGTGTTGGCATTCCCAATATCGATGATCGTTGAAAAATTTGCTACAGCGCAGCAAAGAGCCATCGAAGACGAGCAGCTGAATCAAGGTATATTTTTTAGCATTCCTAAGTGCCTGCCATCTTATCTAGGTCTAGGCTATGAACGCTAATGAGCGTCCAATTGAGTTTAGAGGAAGGATTCTGGGGAGGATGTGCGCACCTTTGTTCCCCTTGGCGTTTCTACACTCTTCTGGGCTCAGTCCTAGCGTCACCATCTATACCGGGTTTCAAATGCCCTGTTTTGAATGCCTCCTCCCTAATAAAGCCTTGAGCACTCATTCGCATTTCTATTCGTCTAAAACGCATGTATTTCTAAATTTGCTGGCTTTTGCTCGATCTTTTGACAGTCCTTTCGCTGTTCCTCATTACTCATTCATCACCTAGACGGCTATAAGAATTCCTGTGCTTCAGTGTACGGTGAGCGTTTTTATTTCCTCTAAATCCGCTCATTCTTTCTTGTAACTGAAGCAGCAAGCGTATCCAACTTCTTTCGAAGCGTACCACTACATTAGCTTTTTCAGAAAACAGATCTACAAAGTACATTATCAGGTATGTAAGAGAACCCGTAGCACCAACCCTCGTATGCATGCCAATTCACTCCTAAGTCTAGCACCGTCTGAATTACCATAGATTGTTTGGGAGATTTTTAGGTTCTAAGCGGGGAACGATTTCTAGTGAATGATCGCCTGTTGTATTTTTATGAGAGATCATGTTCAGAAGTTTCTGAACTCTGAATTCTCCATTGTAAGGCTAATTTATGCAAGCAAAGCAGAGGTCTTTAAATTAAAGGAAGCGATTACGATAAAGAGGAAGCGCATCGGGGAAGCATATGCACCACACGAAGCAGTTACTTGGCTGCCAAGGAAGCGAGGTGTGGCGCTTTCACGACGAAAGGTGCGCTGGTTGCTGAGCAGGACTTCGAAAGCACTCCGCCCCAAAAGCGATCCGCCCACTAGTTTAGTTGGTGATTTGGACGAGCTGCGTTGCCAGCAGCGGCACAACTGGAGCAACTCGACTGGAGCGTGGATTGGCATGGTGCCACCAAACGCGTTGCGGTGAACTCGTTTATATGTCCTCGTCTTAAAGTTGTTGGTCCTTGAGCGAAGATCAACGAACAAAAGGGTTGCCCATTTTGCGCTTTCTTGAGATTCTCTGCTTTTTTTCGCCATTCGCATATCAGTGACACCCTCCCCCCCCCCCACTGTAGCCCCACTTGCACCTAT